AATAAATGTGCAAAAGACAATCACATTTCTTTACGCCAATAATAAACAAACAGAAACCCAAATAAAAAGCACGATTCCCTTCACAGTAGCCACACAAAAAAGGAAATACCTTGGCATCGTCCTGAAACATGAAAGACCTTTACAATGAAAACTACAAAACACTGCTCAAAGAAATCAAGATGACACAAACAAGTGGAAAAATATCCCATGCTCATAGATTGGAAGAATCAACATTATGAAGATGTCCATCCTACCTAAGGCAATCTACAGATTTAATGCAATACCCATCAAATTACCAGCAACGTTCTTCTCAGACCTAGAAAAAACAACACAGGAATTCATATGGAAACACAAACAACCAAGAATAGCTAGAACAATCCTCAGCAAAAAAAAAAAACAAAAAAAAACAAAGCAGGTGGTATCACATTACCAGACTTCAAACTTACTATAAAGCTACAACCATCAAAACAGCTTGGTATTGATACAGAAACAGGCATATAGACCAATGGAATAGAATTGAGATTCCAGAAGCAAAACCTCAATTTCTCAACCAACTCACCTTCAACAAGGCCTCCACCACCTACCACTGGGGAGAGGAGAACCTATTCAGTATATGGTGCTGGGAAAACTGGCTGACCACATGCAGAAGACTCAAACAAGACTCAAACCCCTATCTATCCCAATACACAAAAATTAACTCTAAATGATCAGAGACCTAAATGTAAAACCTCAAACCATAAGAACCTTAGAAAAGGAAAGAAATACCCTCATGGAAATCGGAACTGGCATCCAATTCCTGAACAAAACCCGAAACCCACAAGTCATAAGAGAGAAGATCGACAAGTGGGACCTCATTAAACTGACAAGCTTCTGCAAAGCCAAAGAAACCATTAAGAGAGCAGGGAGACAGCACACAGACTGAGAATAAGTATTTGCCAACTCCAGGTCCGACAAAGGCTTAACATCTTGGATCTACAAGGAACTCAGATGTGCTGAAAAGAAAAAAAAAACAACCCCATTATAAAGTGGGCAAAAGATATGAACAGACATTTCTCAAAGGAAGACATCCGAGCAACCAACAGACACACAAAGAAATGTTCAGCCTCACTAATCATCAAGGTGATGCAAATTAAAACCACACTGAGATACCACTAACTCCAATCAGAATGGCAATTAACAATAACTCAAAAAATAACAGTTGCTGGAGAGGGTGTGGCAAAACGGGGAACACTTATACACTGTTGGTGGGAGTGCAAACCAATGCAACCTCTGGAAAACAGTGTGGCGATTCCTAAAAGCTCTAAATATCGACCTCCCATATGACCCCACAATCCCCCTACTGGGAACATACCCTGAAGAACTCAAATCACTCTATGAAAAAGATACCTGCACACGTATGTTTATCATAGCATTGTTCACAATAGCAAGAACCTGGAATCAACTATGCTGTCCATCAAAAGAAGACTGGATTAAAAAAATGCGGTACATATACATGATGGAATACTTCGCAGCCATAAAAAAAAAAACAAAATCATGAATTTTGCAGCAACCTGGATGAAACTAGAGTCTGTAATACTGACTGACCTCTCACAGAAACAAAGATCTGAGTATCACATGTTCTCACTCACATAGTGCACCTTGAACATCCGTTGTAATACTATAAGAAAAGGACTGACAATGGTGGGAAACTATGGGCGGGGGCAGGGGAAGGGAGGTGGAATTAATGGTAGTAATATCTGTCTGGGGACGGGGAAACACCCCTTATCAACAAGGGTGCCTGAACGATGCATATTTGTATACCTAACCCTTAACTGTGCCCCACAATATCAAAATAAAAAATATATTAAAAAAAAAAATTTCAACGTGAGTATTGGAGGAGCATTTAAGCCATAGCATATGGCTGACTTGAGAGGGATTTAACACGAAGAAGTGGATGCTTTTATATTGTGTTAGGAAGGATTAGAGGAGCAAGCTCTCCAGGGGGGCTGTTCCCCAGGAATGTTTGCAGAACAGAGCCAAGGAACTGACCACCCAGAAAGAGCTGCTTTCTCCCATGACCAGAAAAACAAGAAAACTAGAAGCTGCTACCGCCCTACTGCACATCAGTTGGCTCTTGGTACCCGTAAAGCTAAGCAGTTGCACACTGAAACACTAATGCGGAAACCCTCAGGTGTTTCCATCACTATGTTGGCAAAAGAAACTAGCCAAGCATCAACACATTAGCCCCATTCATTTCTAAGTTCCAAATCACGTGCAAATGTATTTCTTTACAGAATCTAAGTATCAACCAGAACTATAGTTGCAAGAGTTTAGGAACAACAGAAAAGTATCTAACTCCTGCAATGTGTGCTAGAAGGTAGGATGCTTCCATATCATAATAGACATCACATTTCTACAAATGATTTTTTTTTTCCGGAAACATTAGTGGTGTACTCTTAGTCCTCAAAAGCCTAAAAATTTCTTTTACCTTTCTGTATGAATTATAGCTTTCCTAAGTCTTGAATAACAGCATTATGATTTTCTGCAGAAGGCTTTAAAAAAGCCTTCATTGTTTCCTACTATTCAGTATTTTGGATGAAAAATGAAGCCAGTCTGATTTACTTTTCTTCTCTGAACATTTAGAGATTTTTATATTTAAAATTCCAGGAAACACATGTATGTGTCCCTTTTTTATTAATCATGCTCTTTGACATGTAATGAATTCTTTTATGTTGAAGTAAATGACTTTTACTGAGATACAATATTATCTCAAGTCTTGTTGAGAATACAAGTTATTTGAATGTGCCCCTTTTTTTCCTGCACTAATTCCTCATCAATGAAGTCCATTTCCTGTGACTAGTTAGCTTGCTCCTTTCATTTAAGCTGTTAATTTTCCTCATATATGAGGAGGACCAAAAACAACCCAAAATTTATTAATAAAAAGTTGTGTGTGTGTTCTTACATGTTTAAACTTCGATCACTTTCAAAGCACTCTCCATTTGATGTAATGAGCCTATTGAGATGCTTTTTTCACTGCTCAAAAGAGTTTTGAACTTGTCAATTTTCATGCCAGTGTTTCTGCCAATTTTTTGTTTCATGTCTTCCACATTGGCAAGATGTTTCCCTTTGAGGACTCTTTTCTTCAGAGGAAACAAAAAAAGTCACTCGGGGACAAGATCAGGTGAATAGAGAGGGTGGGGCATGGGCATCTTGCCGTTTTTTGGTCAAAAACTGTTGAATACTCAGCATGGTTTGGGCAGGTGTGCTCATAATCGCTCATCAAGAAATGGGTGAATGCATTGAAAGAATCTCAAAAGAAAAAAAGTCATTGAAGTTGAACACAGTCTCTCACAACAACACTAGGTAGTACACTGATGCTGATGGGTTCCTGGAACACTTACCAAGTGGGGGATGCCTATACTATAAAGGGTCTGCCATCATTCTGTTTTTTGAGGGAAGTCCCACTCAGGGGTTTTAGTCGCTTAGCATTGTTCTTTTTTTTTGTTTTTGTTTTTTAAGTCAGAATCTCACTCTGGAGTGTAGTGGCACATTCACAGCCACTGCAGCCTCGACAGTTGGGTTCAGGTGATCCTTCTGCCTCAGCCTTCCAAGTAACTGGAACTACAGGTGTGTGCCACCATGCCACCCCATCTAATTTTTTGATTTATTGTAGAGACGAGGTCTCACCATGTTGCCAAGGCTGGTCTCGAACCTGTGGGCTCAGGCAATCCTCTCGCCTCTGCCTCCCAAAGTGCTAGGGTTTCAGGCATGAGCCACCACACCCAGTAGCATTGTTGATAAAGGGCTGATAGGGTATTGGTGAAGAACCAGATTACCTTAGGCTCGTTTTGAATACAGAGTAATAATTTTACCCTCCTCAAAAGATGGTTGTAGTCCCTGAAATAAGAGCTCATCTTCACTATTATTAATACTTCTACCACAAGGGAGGTCTGCTTTAGAACGTCTGTAATGCTGTTCTAGCTGACTCTTCCCTGGTCCCAGTGGACAGTGGATTGAATGGCTAAAGTTGCCAGTGCCCTTGAGCAATGTTTTTAACTACAAGCACTTGAAAGTTTTAAAGCAATTTGACATTTTTACTATATAAATTGGAACTCTTTCTATTTTCTAGTGGTACAGTTGTTGGACAGAGGTCTGCATTCTACTTTGGTTTAGCCACTTCAGGTTAGGAATTGGGAGTAAGAGAGACTCTAGGTTTGAGGTAGTCGTCTTAATGCTAGAATCTCCTGGTGTCCATTTTAGAAAAATGTTGAAGTATATAAGTATGATTGAACTCAGAAGTTGCTACTGATTTCACATTTGGTTACTTCCTCTTTGACAGTTCAATTTTATTATATGTTTATTACAGAATTTTCTTATTCCATAGTGTGAATAGTATCAAAAAGCAATTATTCAACACAACTGTCATATTTGATATGTTTAAGCGATTTTGAAAATTAGAGCAACAACTGCATTATATGTAATATAAAATAGAAACATTAAAATAATGCAGATGGACATCATAGGCACATTTTGAGTCTCATTGGTTTAACAATACACTTCAGATTTGGGCATTTGAAAATGGTTGGTGGTTATGGAAAACTTGTTGGATAGTGTATATATAAACAACTTTGATATATAAACAACTTACTTTGAAGTCTAGACAGTGTTTCACATTTTAATTATCACTGCAATAAATCAGTGGAAGATATGAGTTTTGTGATCGCCTCAGTATACAAAAGCAAAAATAAGCAACAATTTGAACTTTCTGAGTTACCAGGCAGTGGTGAATTTAATGAGTTACTTTTGTACAATTTTAATTTGTATTGAGTTAAAATTTACTGGATAATCTGAAAAATATATTGTGTATATGAATTGACAATAGAAACAGCAAATATGATATATATGGAAGTGATACTGTATTTACATTTATTGCAAAATGAGTTTATCCTGTTATTTATACCATAATAATTATAAGTAAGTCTATTCGTGAGTTAATTATAGACATGTTTTTCTCTTTTTAGGCATGAAGGAACGGATTCTCAACCAGACCTACAACATGTCATTGTTGTATTAAACAGCTTCAAAAGCAATATACTGGAAGTACAAGTATGTGGGGCAGATCTTTTATAGCCTTTGTTCTTAATATTATGAATTATTATATGTTTTTAACTGATTAATTTTATTTTGCAACTAATTTTATAGTGTTTTGTTTTGTTTTGTTTTGTTTTTGAGTTGGAGTCTCACTGTCGCCCAGACTAGAGTGCAGTGGCCACTCCCGGCCACCGCATCCTCGACCTGCTGGGCCCCGGCGATCCTTCTGCCTCAGCCTTCCAAGTAGCTGGAACTATAGGCACGTGCTACCACGCCCGGCTAATTTTTTTATTTATTGTAGAGATGAGGTCTCGCCTGCCCAGGCGGGTCTCGAACCCGTGGGCTCAGGTAATCCACTCACCTCAGCCTCCCAAAGGTGTGGGATTATAGGCTGAGCCACTGAGCCTGGCTAATTTTATAGTTTTACTACCTAGAATGTTGTATTTGAATTCTGGCAGTAAAAGAAGGAAGAGGATTAATAAGCTTATGAAGAGAAAGCAGAAGGACAGAAGGAACTTTTTTTTAGTTTATGAAATATCAACTATATCATATTTATTTCCAGATAATATTACAGATTTGACTCTAGAGATGAGACCAAGAACACCAGTTGAAAAGTTAGTCCTAAAAAGAAAGTAATGTTTCTTTCCCCAAAGAGGGAGAGAAGTTGAGTCATTAATGATGGCAGATGTCATTCTTTTGGGCAAACCCTCCTGCTTAAAACTAGTAAATATGTTGTATAAAATGTTCTCTGAAAATCTTAAAAAGCAACTACGAGCTTACCATAACGAAGTAATAAAAATAATAAGGAAACAGAAGCCAGAATTAAAGGGAAAATAAGAGCCTAGTGAAGTAAACAAGCACAGAACGTTCTCTTGGCCCAGGAAAATTGCTGTTGCCCTGGAAACAATTTGTCTATTCTGGCACACTTGAGCTATTATTTTGATTTAATTTGCTGGGTTACGGGCACAGAAATTAAAACTCAGGGCCCACATAATGTGGATAATCTATTAGAAGATGCCCTCTACAGTAAGCTGACTGTATCTTCAGGGTAAAAATGAAACAGTAAATTATCTCTTAGTCTTCTAGTCCAAATTTATGTCACTCACAAGTATACCAGGGAAAAATAAACCTTGAATTGGTACTAAAGTAGCTCCAGATTCATAGGTATTTAGAAGAAGTATCCATAAATTTCTGGAATAAGATTGTAGTTGCCTAAGTTGCAAATCACATTTTTCAAGTACAGAGGCCAGTACATGGTCAAAGATAACCAAATACACAAAGAAAACCAGCGGAAACAACTGAAAAGACACACTTTGTATATTAGAATTGTTGGCACAGACTCTAAAACAACTGTGCTTATTCTGACTATCTAAATGACAGACTTGAAAATAATTTCAGGTGGACAGGTGTGGTAGCTCACACCTATAATCCCGGTATTTGGGGAGGCCAAGGTGGGAGGATTGCTTGAAACTAGGAATTCAACACCAACCTGGGCAATATAGTGAGACCCTATCTCTATGTAAACAAAAAATTAAATTAAAATCTTTATTTTAAGAAAGAAGATCCTGCATGCAATTTACTTATGTAGTAAATCCTCACATGTACCCCACAACTCTAAAATAAGAAAATATTACAGTGTCTCACACCTGTAATCCCAGCCCTTTGGCATGCTGAGGCAGGAGAATTGCTTGAGCCCTGGAGTTCAAGACCAGCCAGGGCAACATAGCAGGACCTCATTTCTACAAATTAATTAATTAATTAATTAAAAAATTTGACTGGGTGTAATGATGCATGCCTGTAGTCCCAGATACTTGGGAGGCTGAGACGGGTGAATCACTGGAGTTCCTGAGGTCGATGCTGCAGTGAACCAGGATCATGCCACTGCATTCCAGCATGGGTGACAGAATGAGACCCTGTCTCAAAAAAAATAAAAATAAAAAAATTAATTCAGTGGATGACTTTTACTTGCCTTCAGAGAGAATTATCGAGCTGTATGGTAGGCTAGGAAAAGTATTCCAAAACAACAGAGACAGGAAAAAAAGGTAAATATAGCAGAGAACATAAGAGACATAGAGAATAGTGTTAAAACGAGTAAGATAGCCCGGCTCGGTGGCTCAGCCTGTAATCCTGCACCTTTGGGAGGCTGAGGTGAGTGGATTGCCTGAGCCCGTGGGTTCAAGACCTGCCTGGGCAGGCGCGACCTCATCTCTGCAATAAATCAAAATCAGCCGGGCGTGGTAGCACGCTCCTGTAGTTCCAGCTACTTGGAAGGCTGAGGCAGAAGGATCGCCAGAGCCCAGCAGGTCGAGGCTGTGGTGGCCGGGAGCGGCCACTGCACTCCAGTCTGGGCGACAGAGTGAGGCTTCAACTCAAAAAAAAAAAAAGAGTAAGATATTAGAAGAGGAGTTAAAGTTGACTCTGCTAGCCACTAGCTGTGTGGCCTTGGCAGATTACGTAACCTCTTTCTGTCTTATTTTCCTCGTCTGTTAAATGAGGTTAACAATAGAACCTACCTTGTAGGACTATTATGGGGATAGATAAAGCAATGTATGAGTATTTGCTGAACAATTAAAAGTAAATGGAGTTCTAGACATGATGAAAGAAAGAATATTTGAATTGATGAAAAATACCAATTACAAATAGTCTATGGCCTAACCATATCTACATCTTTGCTAATAGCACAGTTTTCTCTCCTAACCATCCATCTCTCAGAATTACAGCAAAAAAAAAAAAAAAAAAAAAAACAGGAAAAAGGGAGAAGCAAAGAACATAAAGGATCAGCCCGTGAACTCCAGTAGCCAACTAAAAGGAATTCCAGAAAAAAAGAAGAGAGAAAATGGAGGAGGGAAGGTGTTCTATAGCTAAAGAGAGAGAAGAATCTATATGTTAAAAAAGCCCACAAATTACCAAGTAGGATGAGTGAAAATGGCCTACAGAAGCTCCTATTAACAAATAAGGAGAAAAGTCAGGTCATTGCAATAGAATTGACACAGTAGCATCAAGCTGTTAAATTTCAAAATATGCAGATGTTAAAAGACAGCAAAACAAAGCCTTTGAGGCTTATTACACATGTTTCTGAGGAAAATTATTTTGAATTTTTTTTCTGAGTATTCTGAGGAAAATTATTTTGAACCTAAGATTCTGTGTCGAACCCAATTTTCAAACAAATGTAAAGGCAAAAATAGCTAAGTTGTGAAGTGTGAACATTTAGAAAAACTATTTTTCATACCCCTTCTTGAAGATGTTTGCCAGCACAATGAGAATAAAGACCGAGCAAGAAGATGGGTAGTTCAAGAAATTGTTAAACTAATTTGTAAACCAATGAAAAGAAATTAGGTAACATGTGTAATAAGCTGGAAAATATTAGATCTGTGGTAAAGAAGACGTAACTTCTTCTGTGTATCTCCTCCACAAGAAAAAAGACAATCAAATTCCAAGAACAGACATTTCTCTATTGGTGAAATGTAGGAAATAAAAATTCATTTGAACTGGCAAGAATCTCCTATGAATGACAGTGGTCATATCACTGCAACTGTACAGAGGAAATACAATTTTAGTAGCCTTTCAGACTCCTCAGTGCTTAGTATTTACACTGTCATAATAAGTACTATTAACTGATTTTCAAGTTTTAGGGTCATCATAGCAAAATGCAAAAGATACAAATTTATTTACAGAACTAAATGTAAATATTACCTATATTTACAAATGCTGAAGTAAAGGTTTAAGTATTATAAGATGGGAGGTGGAGGAAAACAGTAGAGATATTAGTATCCTTATAAACAGAGTATACAAGAAAAACTGTTGCGATAGTCAGAATAAATTTTATTTAAAGTTACAGAAATACCCTAGAGAAGAACTGAGAATAAAGATATTACTTCCAAAACTTCCAGACAAAGAGGAGAAAGGAAGACTGATACTCATCTGTCATCACAAAGTGTGAATAATGTCTAAACTCTGTGAATCCAGAGATAGTAATAGATAATTTCTAAAGTTGGTAAATCAGTAAACACAAGTGAAAGTACGTTATTTAACAATATGGAGTTAACCACCAAAAAAACTAAACAAAGAGGTTTAATTGATGGTTAAAGATCAGATTGTGTCTAAAATACTGTTGTGCTAAGATACTTTAGACAGCAACTATCTATCTTAGATTTCCAAGGGGAGTCTTGCCCATCGTGTCTTAGTTGCTAATCATGCGGCATAATATTTATTTAAAGCTGCAGAATTCTAAAATTTTACTTTACCATGCCTATGTAGGTGCACAAAAAACCAGACAAAATTAAGGAAGATATCCTTTCCGATAAAGATGAAAGAAAAGGGATATGGGATTCCATTAAAAGGTAATTACTAATGAATATTTCAGCATAACCAGTTTGATCCAGGAGTCTAATATGTGGAAACCCTGTAGATGGTGAAATTCAAATAAAGCACAGATTCTGGAATCTAAGAGGAATAAGATAGATACATAATGTTGCTACTGCATACAAGATAGACATCAAGAGGCAAAACAACTGAAAATAAAGCACTGTGCAAACCAGAGGAGAAAAAGATACATTCCTTTAGGAAGAACCCCAGGATACACTCCTTGGATAAGTGTGTGGCTAAGATGTGTTTTAAAGGACAGACAGGATTTCAAAAGTTGGAGATAGAGTGAAGGAACCTGGTTCCATGAAGGCAAAAGATTGGGTGTGTTCCTCAAAGAACAGGAAGTAACTCGGCTTATCTACAACATTAAATATATTAGGGAATCTATAAGTTATATTGGGACCTATATTAGTTACACTGTTAGTCAAAAAAGGAATATATTGGCTCACATATCTAAAGAATCCAGGAGTAGACCTGGCATTGGGCATTTGGGTGATGTTTAGAAACTTTCTCCATCTCTTGGTCCTGCTATTTGTGTGCCTCCTTCATTTTCAGACAGGCTTTTATAAGTAAAAGTTTACTGTCTCCAGTGGGAAGAAGTGACCTCTTGCCAAAAAAGTACCAGCAAAAGTTGCAAGGCTGACTCATTGGTTTAACTGTAGCTATATTCCCCAACTGAACTAATCACTGTGATTCTGATTGACCAAGCTGGGGTTTTATGCCTACTTCTAGAGCTGTTGGGAAGGCCTGTTCCTCTTAAAGCTCTGAGATGAAGTGGAAGGAAGAATGGTTTCCCCCCAAATACTAGGTTGTCATTACTAGAAGAGAAAGGAATGTTAGGCAAGCAAAAACAAAAGCTGCCTGCTATAGATCCACATTGTAGATAATGTTGAAAGTCCATATTAGAGATTTGAACTCAATTTGAATTATGATGGCAGACCATTGGTCATTTTGACCAAAGATAAAACATAGAAACATTAGTCCAAGCTGGGCTCGGTGGCTCAGCCTGTAATCCCACGCCTTTGGGAGGCTGAAGTGAGTGAATTGCCTGAACCCGCAGGTTCGAGACCCACCTGGGCAACTTGGCGAGACCTCATCTCTACAGTAAATAAAAAATTAGCCGGGTGTGGTAGTGTGCGCCTGTAGTTCCAGCTACTTGGAAGGCTGAGGCCGAAGGATCGCCGGAGCCCAGCAGGTCAAGGCTGCGGTGGCTGGGAGCGGCCACTGCACTCCAGTCTGGGCAACAGAGTGAGACTCCAACTCAAAAAAAAAAAAAAAAATTAGTCCAAATAGATTCAACAGCCTAAACATATTTTGTTATTCCAGTCAGAAGCACTTTCATCATTTTGAGTTTTGCTCAACTTAGGCCCCTTTTTCTATATTTGACTCCTTGATTGGTAAGAAGAATCGTGGTTACTGTGGCAGTATTTGAATGTGCATTGAACCTACTGCATTGATAAAGGATCAACCCCACTCATTTTATGATGAATTAGAAGGTAGGTTTGTTTGACAGGGAGTAATGAAGCAGAATCTGGGTGATTTTAAGAGCTTTCATTAAAACCAGAGAATAGAGACAAGAACGAATAAAGAAACTGTGGTATAGCCACAAGCTACACAAAGGACACCAAAAACAAAATAGTGCTTTGTTAGAAAGAGAGATGGTAGGTTTGGGGGGATGTTAGCTGCTCTAAATACATACTGTTGTGTATCTTATAATACTTTCACTTTTTAAATCTTAATTTTAGTCCTAATTTAGAGTGATTTTTTTTTCTTGTCACTTGGCTTTTCTTATTTAGGGGATTACAATAAAAGATGTGAAAAATACTTATGTTGTAACAGTGTATATTTGGCAAAATACCTTCCACAAAGATTGTAGGTTATTTGGTTTACCAAATTTTAGTCATTCTCAGTATTTGTTTATATAAAAATGAGATTTTTAATTAAATAAAGTTTTTAAAATAGGAAGAATAAGAAGAGAAAACTGTATATTATGAATGCCACAAATAAAAGATTCAGTTTTTTTTTTGAGTTGGAGTCTCACTCTGTCGCCCAGACTGGAGTGCAGTGGCTGCTCCTGGCCACTGCAGCCTCGACCTGCTGAGCTCCGGCGATCCTTCCGCCTCAGCCTTCCAAGTAGCCGGAATTACAGGCATGCGCTACCACACCCGGCTGATTTTTTGATTTATTGTAGAGATGAGGTCTCGCTGCCCAGGCGGGTCTCGAACCTGCAGGCTCAGGCAATCCATTCACCTCAGCCTCCCAAAGGTGCGGGATTACAGGCAGAGCCACCGAGCCCGACTAGTTATTTTTATATATGAGGAGAGCCTATACTAAAATGTAATGGGCCTGATCTGGATCCAAAAGGTAATGAAAATGATAGCCAGGTCCAGATCAAGCTGCCGTGTTGTAAGCCAGTGGTTGGACATGGCTCCCTGGTGCTGGGTTTGCTCCTTGTGGAGGTCACCTAGAGTACAAGATCATAGTCCACATGGATTGGATAATACACTTAGTCAGAGGAACTCTAAATTGTAGGCAGTTTTTAAAGTATTTTTGCCTGGGGGAGCTCCATCAGCAGCACTCCCACACCTACCCTATTGCCACATTGATTACTACTGTGCCATAATTACACACATCTACATTCTGTTTCTGCATTACTAGCCTATTGAAAGTTTCGATGCACTACATACGGCCATAGCAGGCTATAATTCATTCTTTGTTTTCCAAACAACTTTTGGCAACTCACAAAGATTCAAGGGTATTACCTCATTAACCTAGGAATAATATAATTATATTCCATGTTATAATTTTTTAAACTTTGAATGATATTGTCACATTTTAATTCATAATTTCTACACAAAAGCTTATTTACCGTTTAATAGTCATTCATTTTGAAAGGTGTTTCTATTTTTATTGTTTATCAAATTTAATATTTTATCAAAGCATATAAAGGGTGCAGGTGTATATTAAGGAACTGTCAATTACTATTTTATTCCAAGTTTCACACTGAGGTTGCATGAAGAAGACAAAAAGGAAAAAGATGTCCTAAACATTTTTTCAGTTGCTTCTGGCCTTTTATACGAACGATTTTTAAGGTAGGTATATTTTTTAATTTAATATGTTGAAAGAATAATAATACATTACATGGTTCAAAGTTCAAAAAAGAATAAAAGAATGTACAGTGAAAAAAAACTGCCACCTCTCTTTCCTTGATAACTTAGTTCCTCTCTTCACACAGGAAGCCAATAGTATTATTTGTATAGCCTGTCAAAGATACATATCTATATGTCTTTGATACACACGCACACACACACACATAATGTACAAATATATATTTTTCTGTTTTTAAATTCCTTTTTTTACCTAAATAGTAACAAAGAATATACTGCTCTATCCTGAGTAGCTGGGACTACAAACATGTGCCACTACACCTGGCTTTTTTTTTTTTTTTTTGTAGAGATGAGGGTTTGCTCTGTTGCCTAGGCTGGTCTTGAACTCCTGGCTTTAGGTGATCCTTCCATCTCGGCCTTCCAAAGTGCTGGGATTACAGGTGTGAGCCACCATAGCCAATTACGTACTGGTTTTTCTTTTAGCCTAGAATATAGACAGGTTGTGTAAATGATAGATAAGTAAAAATATACATAGTATGTAAATTGTTCTTTAAAATCATACTTTGTTTTATAAAAAGGAGAAGGATGAGAGGAGAAAAGCATATTTACAAAGTTCAAAGGGCTATTTTTTAACAGTTTCTATAGAAGGATCACAGAAAATGCCCCCAAAATGCTTAAATTACAGCACTGATATTTTTAAATGGAACTTTAGATACATTTGTATCTTTTAAAAGATATTTTAAGTAGTAGTATCTTTTAAAAGTAATGTAAAGTTACTTTTAATAAGTTAATGTTAGCTTACATTGAGTTTAATGTTCTTTTATGCAGGATTATGATGCTTTCTGTTTTACGTAACACCAAAACACCAGTGAAATTCTGGTTTCTAAAAAATTATCTCTCACCAACATTTAAAGTAAGTACATAACTCTTTTTATAGGGCATTTAATGTTTGAATGGTCAATTCTTTGTGTTATTATAAGTTTATGACATTTCTTTTTTCAGAATTTGCCTTTTGAAATGCATATTTTCTCAATTTAGTATTTTTAATAAATTTTAAAACTTTTGGTATTCGGTATTTTTTATCTAGCTTAAGAAAAATTGTGTGCAGTTTTTACTTAAAGACGTATTTAAAGGAAAAAGATAATAGTATATTTTTATGTAAAATCAAAATCAGAATATTTAGTAGTTTTTCATGATAATGAATAAAAAACTATGACAGTGTAAATATATGTAGATTTCCAGTTAAAAGAACCAAATTCCATTATATTTTACAAAGATAGGCAGTAACAGTAGTACTATCAAGAAAATGCAAAATCTGTACTATAGACAACAGTTTTCTAGTACTGAGCACAAAAAAGCTCTTCAGTCTGTGTGTAGTGCATTGCTTGCTGTGATCAGATATCTGGGCACCAGTGTCTAAGACACTTTATGTTTAGAAGTGTTCAGGTGGCCAGCATCTGTTACACTGTACTCAGCCCTACATTCCTGCTACAAAGTGTACTTACTCTGTTTCTTCCTGTTCTCACTGCAATAAGATTCATTAAATTTATGGTGTCAATGAACAGCATTTCAAAGGAGTTCTTTTTTTTCCCCTAGACCAAAAGCAGTGCAAAAAACAGAAATAAAAGTAGCCAGTTATGCTTTTATTCCTTAATATTTCCAGGCACATTGCCAAGTAATTTACCAACATTACTTAATTATGTTTCCTAACAATCCCATGTGGTAAGAAAACCAAGACTCAGAAATTGCATGACTGACCTGCACGGTTGAGCAGTGCCTAAGGCTGCTGTTAGGTTCAATTGTTTACTAGAAAGACCCGCAGAACTTGAAAAGTAGTCATACTCACAGTAACAGTCTATTACACCCGAAGAATGCCAGTAAAACCAGCAAAAGGAAGAGGCACATAGGGTGAGGTTCAAGGGAGATCTGATGCAAAGGCACCAGCTGCCCTCTCCCTCTGTTGTCATGCGGATAGCACTTATTTCTTCCAGCAACTGTGTGTGACCGTCCTCAGGGAGTATTGCCAACCAAGGAAGCTCACTCAAGTGTTGGTTCAGAGTTTGTATTGGGGATCAGGTGTGTAGACCTTAGCCTCTGGCCCCTCTAGAGGGTGAGCAGGCACCTTATGGCCCCAAATCCTCATTATAAATCCCAAAGGGCCACACCTTTCTTTGAACAAGATTCATCCTTTATAACACAGAAGGTCGATAAAACAACTAATCAGGAACATAGCTGAGGCTTGAACCCAAGCATTCCAATCTCAAAGCCCAGGTGCTTAACCCTTATATAATAGCCATTTGTCCCATGCCACCAATAGTGCCTCCTCCTCCTGTGTTCGTTGACAGTGGAAAAAAACCTGAAAAGTAACCCATAACTATAGATAAGAAAGTATATTATTTTGTTTCTAAAATTCTAGCATGTTATCCTGCTAGCCAAAGCTTGCATAAGTGAGTCTTTAACCCAATCTAAGCTGAGATAATACAGCCTAAAGATTCTCTTAGCAGGAAAGGATATTATTCACCAGAAAAGTAGTGCTATGTCTGGATAAAAAAGTCTTGTTGGCCCGGCTCGGTGGGAGGCCAAGGCAACTGGATTGCCTGAGCCCTCAAGTTCAAGGCCAGCCTAGGCAACTTGGTAAAACCTTATCTCTACAGTAAATAAAAAATTATCTGGGCCTAGTAAGGTGTGCCTGTAGTTCCAGCTGAGGTGGAAGGATCACCGGGAAAAAAAAAAAGGTCTTGTTCCACTACATGGGCCAAAAGTCATAACACATCTAAAGTAGTATTTTCCCTCTTTTTTGCAATTTGTTTCTTTCCTTCAAAGTTCTTTGAAAACTTTTTAGTAAAATATAACATATGCACTGAAAGGAATGCAGGTTATAAAGTGTAGCTTGGATGAATTTTTACAAACTTTAAACACCCGTGTAACCCCAGCAGCCAGATAGAGAAGTTGCTAGCACTCTAGATCTGTACCCTCCAACCTTGAAAAGATACCTCCTCTCTTCCTTCAAATATTTGCTAAAATCACACTTACTTAGGAATTATCCTTTTCTGACCACAGTATGCAAACTATAGTCTCCTCTTCTTGTTCCTTTCCCATTTTATCTTTCTTCATATCATTATTTTGTATAGATAACTTAAAAATTTCTTTATTTTCTGCCTACCACCTCTAAAATATAAGCCTCATGAAGCCATAATTTGTATTTATTTTGTTCACTGATATATCCCTAGGTCCTACAATAATGCCTAGCACATAGTTTATGTTCAGTGAATATTTTTCATGCATTTGATGAATAAAGAAAAAAATTTTGTAATTTTTTCTACTGTTTTGTTTTATTTTAAACCAAAACCATGAGGCCAGCAGATGTTCTTGTCATAATTTCAACATTCCAAATCACAAATAAAATTAAGGCTTACATTTTAAAAACGTATTTTAAGTCTACTTTGTTCTTGCAAAAACAGATAAAAAAATTAAACCAAGCATATAACCAGCAACTAGTTACAAATAAAAACTGACGGCGGCAAAGCAAAATCCTGTATTTGCTAACCCTGTTTCCCTACTCCTTTACTGTCTTTCTTCCCAATTTTTGGGCTCTTGGACCCAACTTAGCCAACAGTATATTTCCTTAACTGCTTCTGGTTTAAACAGAGAATAAGCTGCTTCTAATTCTATAAGACACTGAGTCACAATAACTACCTTGTGTTTTTAATCCTTGAATTAAATAGTCATTTATCTCTAAAAGGAAATGCCTGCATCAATTTACAGCTGATTTTGTTTTTTGTACTCCCTCTTCAGCTTTGCATCTCTGATCATAAGCTGGTTGATACATAGTTGTTGAAACACAGGTGTTTTTTTTTTTTTTAGCATATGAAATCAGTATGTTCTATTTATTTATTTTTATTCTAAAGATGTGGGGTACAATTCAGGGTTAGGTATACAAATGATGATTATGCAGGTACTCATGTTGATGAGGCGTGCTCCTCCCTCCCCTAGCAGTTTCCCACTACTGCCAATCCCTTTCTTATGGTATTATAATTGTTCAAGGTCCGCTTATGAGTGAAAACATATGGTACTCTGTCCTTTGTTTCTGTGATAGATCACTGAGTATGATCAACTCTAAATCCATCCAAGTTGCTGCGAAGTCCATATGTTTGTCTTTCTTTATGACTGCATAATATTCCATTGTGTATATTTACCACATTTTAAAAATCCAGGCCAGCTTCAGTGGGCAGCATGGTTGGTTCCATGTTTTTGCTATTGTTAATAGAGTTGCAACAAACATGCGTGTGCTGCTATCTTTTTTGTAGAATGATTTGCGTTCTTCTAGGTATATTCCCAACAGGGGAATTGCTGGATCATATGGAAGGGATCCAGAGACTTTTTTTTTCTAGAGTCAAGTTTTCTCAAGTCAAGCATTAGTAATAAAATTATGGGAACATGTATCTTTGTTAATAAGCTTGCTAGTTAGTATACTACACTTATTTAAATGACATTAAATAATGCAGGTTTATTTGTACTTGTGTTTTTATGTTGGTCAGCATTTTCATATTTCTCCTTAATAGGTATGTTTTAGAAGTAGTATTTAGACATTTCATCAGTCAGTGTATAACAATTTATAGTAAACTCTCTTTTTAAATGTTAATTTTTTTCCTAAAACAAAACTGCTTTTTCTTCCCTGAATGTATTATTTGATTCTGTATGTGTGTATATATGTTTTTAGGAAGTAATTCCTCACATGGCTAAGGAATATGGATTCCAATATGAACTAGTTCAATATAAATGGCCCCATTGGCTTCATCAACAGACTGAAAAACAAAGGATTATTTGGGGTTACAAAATTCTTTTTCTTGATGTCCTTTTTCCATTAGCAGTGGACAAAATCATTTTTGTTGATGCTGACCAGGTAATAAGACTCACTGTTGTTTTTCATGGTATTCAAACACTTTTACACTTCTGTCTTAATATAAGGAATTAATTTACATTGCTTGTGTAGATTATCTTTATTGATGTGCTACATATGACATGATAGTGATATATGAGCAAAGTACCTTTAAAAAAAAAACAAAAAAACTGTCAGAATACCAGGGGAAAATTGAAGGTATTTTAAGAACTATCATTTATTATTTAGGATGTGGAAGTTTAATCTCTGAAGTAGAAGTTTTTAAGTTTGGGAATTAAGAGTAAAACTAATACTTATGTTAGTCATAATAAGATCAGTAACATAGGTTGCCATGAATATGACCTGATTTGTTTAAAATTAACTGTTCTTGCTGAAAAAGTTAGCAGTTACATATAGTTCTTACCATTCCACCTTCAATGATGGTCTTTAGCATTCAGCCAATAGCCAAATTCTCATTACTCTAACACTTAAGAAAAAACATGTTCAAAATATATATGTCCAAAAAGTATTCCTTTTTCTTTTCCTGCCTTGCATTGCCTTTGTAATCATTGGTGGAAGCCATGTGTGGTGGCTCACACCTGCAGTCCCAGCATTTTGGGAGGCTGAGGCGAGAAGATTGCCTGAGTTCAGGGGTTCAAGACCAACCTGGGCATCTTTACAAGACCTCGTCTCTACAATAAATCAAAAAAATTAGCCAGGTATAGTGGTTCCATTTACTTAGAAGGCTTAGGTGGAAGGATTGCCTTAGCCCAGCAGATCGAGGCTGCTGTGGCCGTAAGCAGCATGCCACTGCACTCCAGCCTAGACGACAGATTGAGACTCCAACTCAAAAAATAAATAAATGTACATAATTTCCTTTTTTAAAAAATAATCATTGGTGGAAAAAACTCTTTGAAGAATATCTACGAACAGTAATATGTAAATAAAAATGTATTTTAAATTAAATGCATGAGTTGAAATTTATATATACAGGACAAAAAATATCATGTCCCATATTAGAATTTGCTTACATTCTAAATGCTATTTCTGTTTTTTATTATTTCCAATTTGATAACTATGAACCATTATGATAAAAACTAAGAAAATAGGCCGATATAGATGATGAAGTAAGCATTTCCAAACATACTGTCTCATATAATTTCTTCTACCTTACCCCATCATGTATACACTATTGAATCTGTAAAAAATAAAGCATAATACTAATTTATTAAAGTTATTTAGAATAGTGTTTCTTTATAAATTAAAATTATTTAGAATAAAGAGGTGTTTCTTTATGATTTAAACTAATATTTGCCAATATACAATAATGGAGATTTGTCATAAAATTTATTAATTCAGGCCAAGCATGGTGGTTTACATCTGTAATCCTAGCACTTTGGGAGGCAGAAGTGAAAGAATTGTCTGAGCCCAGGAGTTCAAGACCAGCCTGGGCAACATGGCGAGACCTTGTCTCTACAAAAAAATTTTTTTAATTAGCTGAGTGTATTAACTGGGCATGGTAGCTCACGCCAAGTAGTTCCAGCTGCTTGGAAGGCTGAGGCAGAAGGATCGCCTGAGCCCAATAGGTCAAGGCTGCGGTGGCCAGGAGTGTGCCACTGCACTGCAGTCTGGGTGACAGAGTGAGACTCCAACTCAAAAAAAAAAAAAAAATTAGCTGAGCCTGGTGGCACACACCTGTAGTCCAGCTACTTGGAAGGCTGAGGCAGAAGGATTAGTTGAGCCCAGCAGGTCAAGGCTACAGTAGCATTAATGCTTCCACTGCACTCCAGTTTGAGCCACAGAGTACATTAAAAAAAATTATTCATATTTGAGAAACTAAGGGCTGTGCACTTGTGTAATATCCAACCCCTTTTCCAAATATATGTTGTATAAAATATGTTGCTTAGAAATGATGTAACAAAATAGTCTTACTGATGAGTAAGACCACTTTCGATACACACTTGAATACAAATTTTAGCTTTATTTTAATCTCTAAGGGCAAGAGGGAAAAAATTAAAATTTAGTAAATTGGCTGGGTTCGGTGGCTCAGCCTGTAATTCCAGCACTTTGGGAGGCCGAGGCGAATGGATTGCTTGCGACTGTAGGTTTGAGACCAGCCTGGGCACCTTGGCAAGATGTCGTCTCTACAATAAATAAAAAATTAGCTGGGCATGATAGCACACACCTGTAGTTCCAGTTACTTGGAAGGCTGAAGCGGAAGGATCATCTGAGTCCAGCAGATCGACGCTAAGGTGGCCGTGAGTGTGCCACAGCACTCCAGCCTGGATGACAGAGTGACTCAACTAAAAAAAAAAAAATTTAGTAAATTTTAGTAAATTCACACTACATGAAAGCACTGTGAGGAAAATGCAGCTTTCTGTATTTCTATGATCTTAGATATTAGATTCCCATAAAAAGAACTGTTATCTTACAGTCTTCATCAGAGACACTATTTTAATTATTTAGATTGTGAGACATGACCTAAAAGAACTCCGAGATTTTGATCTGGATGGAGCTCCTTATGGGTACACTCCGTTTTGTGATAGCCGCACTGATATGGATGGTTATCGTTTTTGGAAAACAGGATACTGGGCATCACATCTTTCAAGAAGAAAATACCATATCAGGTAAGAAAACTCATACTCTTACCCATTAGTAAATAAATAATGTTTTGAATGACAACATTCAGTTTTCTTAAAAACTATACAGTAAGATCAACCAGTTACCAATGTGGTTTAGTACATGCCAGTATCTCTTATAAGCCTTCATGTATATTAACTCATAAAATCTTTTTGACAACCTTTTGAGATATTGTTATTGTCTCCATTTTATAGATGTAGAAACTGCAGCATGCAATATTTATATAACTTGCCCACACTTATCCTTCTAGTATATAACTGAGCCATGAGTTAAACCTAAATTATATGACTCAGCTATATGCTCCTAACTACTCAAGAAGATTTAAACTTGTTTTGTCAAATAACAAAATAAAGACACTATCTTCAAAGCTGTTACTCTTGGTAGGGCTATGAGTTTCATGACAACTTGGAAAAACTTAGGGTGCCCCTAAAAGTATATGGGTCCTACCAAAATTATAATAAACCTCAAACTCCTTAGAAACAGTATTAAATATTGGGAGCAAATTTATGAAAGGATTAATAAGTGTTAGCTCCTAAGATATGCATAGTTAATACCATTACTGTATGCATTCACTGGGGAAAGGTAAAATTATATAAACAACATAGTCTATCAAGGAGTATTCCTTTTTGCAGTGCCTTATATGTAGTGGATCTCAAGAAGTTCAGGAGAATTGCAGCAGGTGACAGGCTCAGGGGCCAGTACCAAGTTCTCAGTCAAGATCCCAACAGTCTTTCAAACCTAGATCAGGTAAGTAAAATGTTAATAGCATAATTTTAAGTGCAAATACAGAGACTCTTCCAACTCCCTGCTCATATGCTTTAAAATCTTGTATTTTGAACTTCTTTCTCAAACTCCTGCCCTTTATGCAATTGCCTATTGACTGTCTCTACTTACACATAATTTTTCACTTTCTGCTCAACATTTTCAAAACAAAGAGTGTTTTATCCTCACTTTTCCATTCCTAAACCTCTTCTTTCTACTCTATGCCCTATCTCATTTGATTGCTTTCTTTGTCTTACTCTTCCTCCATCATCATGCTCTAGTCTCTCCTCCTTCTGACCTTTAAGATAGCTCCCTTTATCTAGTGCCCAGTACCCTAATATCACCTTATATTCTCTTTTTCCTCACAGACAAGCTCCTTTTTCTTCATTACCTGTTAATTTCCTCATTACTCTATCTGAAACATTTTAGATAATTTAAGCAGAATCAAAGACCCTGCAGCGCTTAATCCCTACTCTTTTTCCTTATTTTTATCAGAGCCTTGCATGTTTATTTATTCATATAGCAAGTATCTGCTTAATATCTACTATGTGCCAGCACTCTTGTAAGACCTTGGACATCAGAAGATAAAAATAAGGATCCTTTAGCTTCTGATACTTTTATTGTAATAGGAAAATAAAACTTTAAAATAAAAAAATGAAAGAATCTTTTGGAGAAAAATTAAAATAGGAAAACATGATAGTTCAGAATGGTATATCGGGGTTGGGATCTGCAATTACAAACTGGATTGCCATATATCCCTACGAAGGTGACAGTTGAGTGAATTTAGAATGGAAGCATAAAGTTGGCCATCCAGATGTTTGTGAGTATTCCAGGACAAGGGGGAGATCTAATACAAAGGTCCCAAGGTGGGAGTTGGCCTTACATGTTTGAGGTCTGGCAAGGAAGCCAGTATGGCTGGGACAGAGGGAAGATGGGGGAATAAAGTTCAAATGAGGGAAAAGAGGTAGCAGAGGGTCTAGATAATGCAGAAAGCTTAGACCCTTTGTTTAAATACCTAGTAAATTGGAAATTATAGGTCAAAATACTAATGAGTTATGTAAGACCACACAGGAAAGGCATGCATTTTTTTTAAATTATAGAAAATTGAGAGTACTCCAAATACGTATGCATACACATGAAAATAGTATCTTTTCCATATTGCCAAGTAGTATAAAATTGTGCTCCTCAGTAAACCCCAATAGCATGCTAGATTTAGGCCATGAATACCACATGTTTGTGTGATTCTTTTTTTTTTTCTTTTGAGTTGGAGTCTCACTCCGTCGCCCAGGCTGGAGTGCAGTGGCACGTTCATGGCCACCCCAGCATTGACCTGCTGAGCTCAGGCAATCCTTCCACCTCAGCCTTCCAAGTAGCTGGAACTGCAGGTATGCACTACTACGCCCGGCTAATTTTTTGTTTTATTTTAGAGATGGGGTCTTGCCATGTTGCCCAGGCTGGTCTCTAACCTGCCAGCTCAGGCAGTCCTCTTGCCTTGGCCTCCCAAAGTGGCCACGCCACTGTGCTCGGCCATGATTCTTAATAATTTTATCAATAAAATAATAATTTTATCAATAGTTATTTATAGGAACCCTTGATCTTACATATAAGTGAAAGTCTGTTAAGTTGCCTGACATCTGCCCATGGATAACTAAAAACTAAAGAAAGGACTCATTTTTCAAGCAGCCGAGGAACCATCTGAGGGGTTCTTGTAGTACTTCATCATATTTAGGGGATTAAAGCCTTTATTCTCATGCATTTCAACTCCCACTCCCACCAGTCCACTGAACGTTTCTCGGTAAAGTCAAAATAGCTTTTCCGGGGCTAGTGAACACTTCTTGTCTATTTTTATATCCCTACTTGCAACATGGATGCTTTCAATTTCTCCTTTCTTGACACTTTCTCCACTCTGCCTTGGCTTCCCTAATTCCAGATCTTGCTGTGGTTCTTCTTTGGCATTTGTGGCTTTCCCACAGCAGTTTATTGGTGAACTACTTTCCCTCTACTTTCCATTTAAATGTAGCTCTTTTCTAGTCTCTTCCCTTGGCTTACTTCCCATCCTGTCATTCTACTTACTGGCAATTTTACATCCATTCATGGTTTCAGTTTACATCTTTCCTTTTTTTTTTTTTTTTTTTTTGAGTCAGAGTCTCACTCTGTAGCCCAGGCTAGAGTGTGTGGCATGCTCACGGCCATCCCAGCGTTGACCTGCTGGGCTCCAACTATCCTTCCTCCTCAACCTTCCAAGTAACTGTAACTACAGGCATGCTACCACACCCGGCTAATTTTTTATTTACTGTAGAGATGAGGTCTCACCAAATTGCCTGGGCTGATCTCCAACCGGAGAGGGCTCAGGCAATCCACTCACCTCAACTTCCTAAAATGCTGGGATTACAGGCTGAGCCACTGAGCCTGGCCTTAATTTACACCTTTCTGTTAAAAGTTCCCAGATCTTATCTCTGGCTCTTAGCTTTTCCCTGAATGCCAAACTTTTATATTAAATCTACTGCTATTGCCACATTAATGCCCAAAACTTATCTCAAATTTGATAGTCAAGAGTTCAAGTTTTGTTCTTCCTTCATTATTTTCTACATCAGCAAATACGCCTTGTAATCCCACCACTTTGGGAGGCAGAGGTGAGAGGATTGCCTGAGCCCAAGGGTTTGAGACCAGCCTGGGCAACTTGTGAAACTTTTGTATATACCAGCAATGAACAAGTAGAATTTGCAATCAAAAGCACAATACCACTTAAATTGGCACCTAAAAAATACATATTTAGTATAAATCTAGTAAAATGTGTGCCTCTACATTAGGAAAACTATAAAATTCTGATGAAAGAAAAAACATCAGAACCAATGATGAGATAATCTATGTTCATGGATAGGAAATATTTTTAACAAATGTGCTGGACAACAGGATATTCACACATAAGAATGAAGTTGGGCTTCTACCTCACACCATAAGAAAGAATTAACCCAAAATGGATTAAAGACCTAAAAGTAAGAACTAAAACTATAAAAGTCTTAGAAGAGAACATAGTTATAAATATTTGTGACTTTGGATTAGGCATTAGTTTTTTAGAACAAGCATCTAAAGAAAAAGATAAATTAGCATCAAAATTAAAAACTTGCATGTTAATATGATCAAGAAAGTGAAAAGGCAACCCACGGAATGGGACAAAATACTTACAGATCATATATCTAACAAGAGACTAGTGTCCAGATATATAAAGAACTCTTGCAGCTGGGCACAGTGGCTCACACCTGTAATCCCAGCACGTTGGGAGGCAGAGGCGAGACCAGCCTGGGCAACGTGGCGAGACCTTGTCTCTACAACAAACGAAAAAAGTTAGCCAGGCATGGTGGTACACGCCTGTGGTTCTAGCTACTTGGAAGACTGAGGCAGAAGGATCATAGCCCAGCAGATCGAGGTTGCAGTGGCTGTGAGCATGCCACTGCATGCCAGCCTGGGCGACAGAGTGAGACTTTGACTCAATATATGTATGTCCAAACAAAAACTTGTACACGGATGTTTATAACAGCATTGTTATTAGTAACAATCTAGATGCCCATCAGTTGATGAATGGATAAAATGTTGTATAGCCATACAGTGATTTATTATTGAGCCTTAAGAAACACACATAGCATGGAAGGACCTTGAAAACATTATACTAAGTGAAAGAGGCCAGACATAAAACCTCATAATGTATGATTTAATTTACATTATATGTCTGGTTTAGACAAACTCATAGAGACAGAAAGATTATTAGATTTACAGGTGCTGGGGAAGGGTGTGAGGAGAATGTGTGAAATAATCAGCTGAGAAAGAGTGACAGCAGAATAGACTGATATATATAATTGTCTGACAAAATTAAGATCCCCTTAAGATCCATATGTATGAGGTTCAAATTAAAGCAGCGTGGTGTGTTTGTATGGGTGGGTGAATGTCTGTTTTGCCAACCATGTTGAAGTGCACATGATTACAGATGCAGAGATTTAGATTTAACTAGGACTATGACTTTGCCAAGAAAGTACAACTAAGAGAAGATGAAGATAACTGAGAGTATATTCAAAGGAATAACTATAAAGGAGTGAATAAGGGATGGGATAAGGGGCAGTAAAATAGTGGTAGAATCAGTTGATTGAAGGTCACAAGGAGTTGGAGGGTGCTGATGTCTACATACTCAGTGGGGTGAGCGGAAAACCAGGATATTGTCAGGAAATGTAGAACCACGAAACCGAAATTACAGAAGACTTGATGTAGGATATGACTATGGGAGTAAATGGCTGAGATAAGATGATAGATCAAGTTAAGGGAGGGATCCCAGGGAATGAAGGGTGTCAGAAGGAGCAGTTAAGACTTTTTCTTTGATTAATAGACTTCTTTTTTTAGAGCTACATTAGGTTTACAAAACAAAATTGAACAGAAAATTTCTTTATTTGGGAGCTCTTATTATGTTCTATTGAATGTTTGTCTTTTTTTTTCTTTCCCAATACCACACTATCTTGATTACTGCAGCTCTATAGTAAGACTTCAAGTCTGGAAGTGTTAACCCTCTGACTTTATTCTTCTTCAGTATTTTGTTGGCTATTCTGAATATTTTCTTTTTTTTTTTGAGTTGGAGTCTCACTCTGTCGCCCAGACTGGAGTGCAGTGGCCGCTCCCGGCCACCGCAGCCTCAACCTGCTGGGCTCCAGCGATCCTTCCGCCTCCGCCTTCCAAGTAGCTGGAACTATAGGCGCGCGCTACCACGCCCGGCTAATTTTTGATTTATTGTAGAGATGAGGTCTCGCCAAGTGGCCCAGGCGGACTCGAACCCGCAGGCTCAGGCATTCCACTCGCCTCAGCCTCCCAAAGCGCAGATTACAGGCTGAGCCACCGAGCCCAGCCTGAATATTTTCTTTATCCATAAATTTTAGAATCAGTTGGTTGATATCCACGAGATAACTTCCTAGGACTTTTATTAGGATTGTGCTGATTCTAGATTGATCTGAGAAGAATTGGTGCCCTAACTATTAGGTCTTCCTATCTATGAACATAGAATATCTCTTCATTTATTTCATTGTTTTTATATTTCTTTCATCAGAATTGTATAGCTTTCATCTGTACGGGAACATATTTTATTAGATTTATACTTAAAAGTGTATTTTTTGGTGCTAATATAAATGATGTATTTTCTTAAATTTCAAGTTTCACTTGTTCTTTGCTGGCATATAGGCTTTTGTATATTAACTTCATATCTTGTAATCTTGTACTAAAATTGCTTATCAGTTGCAAGGTTTTTTGTTGTTGTTGGTTCTTGGACTTTTTCTGTATAAATAATCCTGTTACCTGCAAATAATGAGTTTTATATTTTCCTTCCCAATCTGTATACCTTTTATTTCCTTTTCCTGTCTTACTACATTCACTAGGACTCGCAGTGTGGTGTTTGTATAGGAATGTTGAAAGAGGAAACTTAAAATTATAAATTTTGGTACTTACATAGCAGCGGTCCCCAAGCTTTTTGACATCGGGGACCAGTTTTGTAGAAGGCCAGATGTGCAGTCAAACCTCACCGCTAATGTTAATCTGTATTTGTAGCCACTTCCCAGGGCTAGCATCACTGTCTGAGCTCCACCTCAGATTATCAGACATTAGATTCTCATAAGAAACGTGCAACCTAGATCCCTCACGTGTACAGTTCACATTAGGGATTGCGCTCCTAAGAGAATCTAATGCCACTGCTAGTCTGACAGGAGGCGGAGCTCAGGCAGTAATGTGAGTGATGGAGAGCAGTTGTAAATACAGATGAAGCTTGGCTCACTCGCCTGCCACTCACCTCCTGTTGTGCAGCCTGGTTCCTAACAGACTACAGACCGGTACTGGTCCATGGCCCATGGCCTGGGGACCCTGTTGTATAGGTACTAACACAAGTACCCTACATACTCTTTAGGAAAGAGGGGAGCGTGCCCTGCTCTGGAATGTATACAGATCGTCTCTGGAGAGAGGAAAGGCGGACATTTACAATCCCTGGAATATAAACAAGTATCTCAAGGGAAGATGTTTCTAGATGTCTTCAGAGGTCTCTGTCTTGAACTTATTAGGCTTATTTGCCAGTCAAAAATCTTTTAACCCAGATGACAACAATCTGTTTAGGAAGCAGCATGCAGAAACGTGAAAATATTTATGGATCATTGATTCTAACAGGGAAATGAAAGGTCATCTCCAAATCTGGAGTGTGTGATGTTGGCCAGCATAAACAGTAATAGCAGGCACAGTGTAAGCAATTAATCCTGGTGATTCAAGGCAGATAGAGGTAGTATGGCTGTCCAGTGGGGTGGCCATATGGAATGGTGGGTTTCTGGGCCTCCCTCTTTATCCCTGGTGCTGGAGTGAGGCCTAGGGGAGGTGTGGACATAGTTCCTCTGCATGCGTTCGTTCATGGCACAAGATGATTGGACCAAACTAGGTTTTTTAAGCTTAAAAATATGGAGGAATCTCAAATTTGCGAATTTTTTTGACCTGTTTACAGTCTAAATGACATCTTACTTCACTTTCCCTCTGACTCTAATTTCTATACCTCTATGTTTAAATCCTGCCCCCCCTTCCCCCGCCGTAGGATCTTCCCAATAACATGATTTACCAAGTTGCCATTAAGTCTCTTCCTCAAGACTGGCTGTGGTGTGAAACCTGGTGTGATGATGAATCCAAACAAAGAGCCAAAACAATTGATCTGGTGAGTGTCTGTGTTCTCATTCATCTGTAAGCAGATACAAAAATGCTCAAATAGAGATACTTTCTGTTTTACAAATGAAATTATACACATATTCGTTCCCTCACTTTTCCTACTGCTCAGTCTATTACACATTTAGTTAGGTTGGCAAGTATAGGGCTATTTCAGGGGCTTCCAAGACCACCCTCAGGTTTGATGATTCATGAAGAAGATTCACAGGATGCACGATATAATTGTACTCATGGCTATGATTTATTATGGTAAAATGATACAAAGCAAAGTCAGTAGAAGGAAAAGGTACATGGGGCAAAGAGAAAATTGGGAGCAAGATTCCAAGTTGCCTCTCTCTTTGTGAAATCACACAGGACAAGCTTAATCCTCAAGTAGCAAGAAATTCCACAACACTGTGAAGTGTTGCTTACCAAGGACACTTATTGGAGACCCAGTGCTTAGGGCTTTTACTGAGGGTTGGTCACTACATGAGGGCCTTTGCCTGAGACACACCAAAGTTTTCAACTTCCAGAAGAAAAGCAGGTGTTTAGCATAAGCCATAATGTTTGCACAAGTAATTTAGGCACGGTGAGACACTCTTATCAGGGAATGGTAGGAACCATCCTGAAACCTAAGTTTCCAGATACTGGCCAGGGGCCAACCTTACAAAGCAAAGGCCTTTCTAAGAAAAAGAGTCTCAGGTTTGCTATGCTAACTCTTCTCTGCATAAGGGTTGTTGAAAGAAAGGCCATGAGCTGGCTGAAAATGTTCATAGATTAGCTGTCATCGTAGCATGTCTTCAGTTTAGTTCTGCCAATGTGTTCCTCAAATAAAGGCAACGAAGACAGTTTTGTCTACTTAAATTATCCTATATGTGTCTATTTTTCTTCCTTATTTTTAAGAGTTTTTTTTTAGATTTTCATTTTAAGCAGTTTAACTATGCTATGCAATTTAACTCTCCTAAACATAAAATATTTCAAACTAGTTTATTTATTGTCTGACCAAACCTACATTTCAATACTATTTTATCTTTAATAGCTACAAGTAATAATACAGTTTTTTACCATATTATTATTATTAATTTTATTATTATTATTATTATTATTTTGAGTTGGAGTCTTACTCTGTCACCCAGACTGGAGTGCAGTGGCCGCTTCCGCCCACTGTAGCCTCAACCTGCTGGGCTCCGGCAATCCTTCCCCTCAGCCTGCCAAGTAGCTGGAGCTACAGGCGTGTGCTACCACACCCAGGTAATTTTTGATTTATTGTAGAGATGAGGTCTCACCAAGTTGCCCAGGCAGGTCTCGAACCCACAGCCTCAGGCAATCCACTCACCTCAACCTCCCAAAGCGCTGGAATTACAGGCTGAGCCACCAAGCCCGGCTACCATATTATTTTTAATACACTAATTTAAGTATAGAATAATTGTTTACAAAGTCTTCACTGAATAATAAACTATCAATATGTTAAGAGTTCATACACTTTTGAACAAAATAAGGGACATAACAAATAAAAAGTAGGGAACTTTTTCCAGATACTTGTAGAAATGTACATAGGAAATAGCATGTCAGCATGTTAGAATGCAGTTCTAAATGGTAGAATGTAGCAGAAACAAACAAAATGGCATTAAGAGGGAAGCAGGCCAGACTCGGTGGCTCAGCCTGTAATCTCAGCACTTTGGGAGGCTGAGGCAAGAGAATTGCCTGAGCCCACGGGTTCGAGACCCACCCAGACAACTTGGCGAGACCTCGTTTCTACAGTAAATCAAAATTTAGCCAGGTGTGGTAGCACGCTCCTGTAGTTCCAGCTACTTGGAAGGCTGAGGCGGAAGGATTGCTGGAGCCCAGTAGGTCGAGGCTGCAGTGGCCAGGAGCATGCCACTGCATTCCAACCTGGGTGACAGAGTGAGACTCCAACTCAAAAAAAAAAAAAAAGAGAGAAAGAGAGAGAGACGCAAGGAAATTTTATAAAGAGATGCCAAGAATATTGCTGATCATAATTATTAAGATGTTGTTAAGGTTATGTTGTGACAGATAAGGTTGTGACTCATACAGCTGTGATGTGAGTCTCCTTGGGAACTTTAGTGCTTGGGTTAACATGAACTATCATAATAAACCACCAAATTTTAGTGACTTCACACTCACTCAAGCAGCAAACCCAAGTGAATGTCCCCATCAATGAGTAGTTTTCCTGTGTGTTGTGACTCAGGGATTATTCTTTGTCCACGCATGGCTGCTCCTTTCAGTGCAGCAGCCACTTGCCACATGTGGCTCTTGAGCACTTAAAATGTTGCTAGTCTGAATTGGGATGTGCTGTAAGATAACACACACCAGGTTTTGAAGACTCAGTACAATAAAAAGAATGTAAAAATATCTCATTGCTAATTCTTACATTGATTATGTATTGACTAATAATATTTCAGATATATTGGGTCAAATAAAATATAGTATTAAATGTAGTATTAAAATTTATTTCACCTGTTCCTTTTACATTTTTATATGTGACTACAAGGAAATTTTAAATTACATATATGGTCTTCATATTTCTGTTGGATAGTGATGACTCAGAGAAAAAGGAAAAAAGAGTGTGCAGAACACATCGCGAATGCAAAGGTCCTAGTCCCTGGGTGGGAGTTGGTCATGCGTCCATATTTAGGTGTAGGAAGAACTGAGAAATGTCATTCCTGGATGGACAGCTACCTCCTAGCTGTAGCACCACTGCAGAAGGAGGAGCGGTGCGCATTCTGGTAATCAGCCTAACTGTCTTTCCCTTAGAAAAGCTTGAAAATAGAATGAGGAAGAGGGGAGGATGGGGGCCACGTGACAACACTGAGGGCATCGAGTTCACTAGCAGGGGGAGTGAGGGCCGGTTAGAAGCCCAAACTTCACCTGCATGCAGCCTACTCATGTAGGCTCATGTGTACCCCACATCTCTATAATAAAATAATTAAAAAAAAAAGATAGAATGAGAGACCATGCTATTTTGGACCAGTTTCTTGGGTGATGGAGGGGAAGCTAAGAGAATGTAGAAAAATCCCAAGGAAATAGCCTAACAGCCTCGTTTTGAAGGTGGCAATGGAAGTATTTATGAATGTCATGACACCATTTCAATCTAGGTCTCCCAACCTCAGTATTACTGGCATCTGGGGCTAATTCTTTGTTGTGGTGGCTTTTCTGTGCATTGTGGGGTATTCAGCGGTATTCCTGGCCTCTACCCACTAGATGGCAATAGCACCCCACCACTCCCCAGCCATGCCAGCCAAAATTTTCTCCAGACTTTGCCAAAGTTCCCCTAGGGGCATAATTACCCACTTACAAACTTTTGATAAAGATAGTAGCACAAAAAAGCCCAAAAATGTAACCTTCAGAAGAGGATGAGAGTTAAAAATTACATAACAACTTTAAAAAATAGAAAAAAACAAAACTAAAAAAACCCAAACCATCGTATTACAAAACAACTAAAGAAAACAGTATTATTTGAATAGTTTATGACACAGTTAAAATAGTTTCATTATCTTCACTGTACAGAAAACATTGCCTGTAAAAATTTCTGCAAAGAATATCTTGTTTTCTGTTTATTTCACAAATGTATCACTCTAGGAAAAAAATTACAGTGAATGAACTGAAAATATTTAGTGAGGAAAGGATTAAGACAACAGGCACACAGCTCATGACAAATAACTTTCCCCTAAGGCAATAAGAGGAAAGCAGATGGAGAAAATGTCAGACAGAAGTGAGCTTTACACCTTGTGTATTAGTGCTTTGTATATAGCAAATGGGCTGCTTTTATAACTTGGTGATGTTTATGCTCCTCCCATTATGTTTTCTGATATTAATAAATGGTAATTCTGTTCTTCACGTTGTTCAAGCCAAAGGCACTGGTGGCAAAGTCTTTGATGCTTCTCTTTTCTCACAGCTCACCCAATACATCAGCAAATCCTGTCTACTGTTCCTTCAGATACATCCAGTATCAGATTCTTATCTGCCTTCTCCTGTAATTTTTGCCTTTTAACTTTTAATTTATTTGCAGATAAATACATTAAGACCCACTTCCCCCCCTCCCAAAAAAAGTTAGGTGATATGTATCGGTCCTACTGTTAGTAAATGTGGAGTTGGAACCCTGAGAACGGAGATTCCACTTCCAGTGGTTTTCTACTGTACCTACAAAGCAGAAGTCTGCTATGTGCTTTTACAGAATGGTAATGTGATTAGCTCTTGTCAGAGCATTTTACAGAATTGCTCGACGAACTTCTTATGAACCTTCAGAATGTCTTTCAATGATTTTTGTTCAAATTTCTGATTGAGGTATTTTTATTAAACAATTATTACCCATGAGTTATTTCACTTGATCCTGTCTATACTTAACTTCCAATTCTTCAAGTACTTAATAGAGCTCTGGGGGGTTTTTTTGTTTTTTTTTTGTTTTTTTGAGTTAGAGTACTCTGTCGCCCAGACTGGAGTGCAGTGGTCGCTCCCAGCCACCGCAGCCTCGACCTGCTGGGCTCTGGCGATCCTTCTGCCTCAGCCTTCCGAGGAGCTGGAACTACAGGCGCGCTACCACGCCCGGCAAAGTTTTGATTTACTGTAGAGATGAGGTCTCACCAAGTTGCCCAGGTGGGATTACAGGCTGAGCCACCGAACCCGGCTGGGCTCTGGTTTTATAAAATGTGTTTTTTATTTCCCCTACTGACACAGCATTGTCCTCAAGTATTTTCTTTGTGTTTTCTGGAGTATGGTTTCTCTTTAACAAAATCTGTTTAAACTTTCAGTGTAATAATCCCAAAACAAAAGAACCCAAACTAAAAGCTGCTGCCAGGATTGTCCCAGAATGGGTGGAGTATGATACGGAGATAAAGCAACTATTAGATCATCTTGAAAATGAGAAGAAAAATGCAAGTAAGTCATTATCCTGCAGTGGTATCTGATTCATATGTTGCACTAATGAGATTAAATTACCAAATGATCAGCCACAAGATAGAGGTGAAAAATGAAAGTCAAAGGAATACTTGTCTTTAAGATTTCACTGAATTTCCCAAATGTGAAAATTCAAGCAAGTCCTGAAAAATTAACATAGTTAACTAAAAGTATTACTCCCTGTCTCCTAAATTGATCTTGTACATAATACAGTTTTCCCCACATGTTCATGGTTCTAATATCCTTACTCATGGCTAGAGAGTGACTTGGATTCTATTTGCATCCATTTGAAAAAAATATGCTGTTATCATGGCATTTCATCATCCTACATAAGCGTTCAACAAGTATGTGTTGAATTTATTTATTTATTTTATTTTTATTATTATTATTTTTTTGAGTTGGAGTCTCACTCTGTCGCCCAGACTGGAGTGCATTGGCCGCTCCCGGCCACCGCAGCCTCAACCTGCTGGGCTCCGGCGATCCTTCCGCCTCAGCCTTCCAAGTAGGCAGAATTACAGGCATGCGCTACCATGCCTGGCTGATTTTTTGATTTATTGTAGAGATGAGGTCTCGCTGCCCAGGTGGGTCTCGAACCCACGGGCTCAGGCCATCCACTCACCTCAGCCTCCCAAAGGCACGGGATTACAGGCTGTCCCACCGAGCCCAGCTTGTTGAATTTATTTTTAAAGCTGATATGAACCTCTTGATTCCCTAATAATTCTCTTTTCCTGTCATTGTCGCCTGACTCTCTCTATTGTTATTAACTCTTTTTTAAAAAGAACTCTGAGCTCCTATTGTGTTCCAGTCAGTATGTAAGAGACTTTCACTAGGTTATATTAGTTAATCCTTCAATAATTCTCGGTAGCTCAGAATACAATTATCATTTTCCTCAGCTTTACTTTTTAGGGAAGTTGAAATGATTATATATAAACTTTCTCATATAAACATGAAATTGTGTTTCATCTTGACTTATTGTTTTCCTTTTTAAAAAAAATTTTTTTTGGTGTATCTGGGAAGTTAACTATTTAAGACACACCCATATATATATAGTAAGTTAGTACAGATAAATTCAGAAGAAAACATTATTCTGTAAGTGGTATGATATAAATCTTTTTAAAGGGAGAAAAAGGTAAAAGAAGACAAGGGAAGAGGAAGAGAAGGAAAGAATGCAAAAAAAGAAGGAAGAGAGGAAAACCACCTCAACAAAAATTTTTAAATGCACAAAACACAGTTTAAATGTTTTATCAAACTGAGAAAGAGTTAAAAGATTAATAATGCCCACTGTCAGTGAGGGTGTTGGCAAATGAGCACTTTCAGATAGGGATACATAGGGTAGCTGTTTAAATTAAGTAAATTTTATGTGCACAAAAATATAAAGTGTATATGCTCTTTGACCCAGCAATTCACCTTAGGAAATTTGCGTTTAAAAAAGAAAAATGGACAGGGCTTAGTGGCTCAGCCTGCAATCCCAGCACTTTGGGAGGCCAAGGTGAGTGGATTACCTGAGCCCACCGGTTCAAGACCTTCCCTGGCAACTTGGCGAGACCTCATCTCTACAATAAATCAAAAATTAGCTGGCTGTGGCAGCATGCACCTGTAGCTCCAGCTACTTGGAAGGCTGAGGCAGAAGGATGGCCGGAGCCCAGCAGGTCGAGGCTGCGGTGGCCAGGACCGTGCCACTGCACTCCAGTCTGGGCGACGGTGTGAGACTCCAACTCAAAAAAAAAAAAAAGAAAAATTATCTGCATGCTGTTATGCTTATTGTAGCATTATTTTAAGTTATGAAATAGAAATAGTCTCTCCAACAATAGACATTGGTTATATAAGCATTGATACATATAAGCAATTAAACGTAGGGTAGCCTTTCAAGAGAAATGAAATATATTTCTGCTGACAGTACATTTTTAATTTACAAAAATAAGTTATAGAACAATGATTGATCACATTTCCATTAAAGAAAACTTGTATGTCTTTGTGTGTGTGTTAGTACAGTTACATATATAAATAAGGGAGAGAAGTTTTATGAAAGAGATAGTTGGTTTTTAAACTTAAGTACAAATATAAGACATGTTTATTATAAATATTAGAACAACATGGAAATATAAGAATAAAATTAGAAGTCCTCTTATTTACTCAAACCTCGAGAGGTACTCATTTTCAAGGATATGGTATATCTTTGATAACTTTTACTTGTCTTGTACATTGTATCTGTTTGCTAGGGCTGCCATAACATAGTGCCACAAACTCGATGGTTTAAACAACAAAAATTTATTGTCTCGCAGTACTAGAAGCTGGAAGGCCAAGATGAAAGAAAATATCTGCAGAGTTGGTACCTCTTAAGAGCTCTGAAGGAAGGATTTGTTTCATGCCCCACTCTTGACTTGTAAATGGATATCTTCTCCCTATGTTTCTTTACATTGTCTTTACATTCTCTGTCCTCATTCTGTAAGGACAACAGTCATTGCATAGGGTCCACCCTATCGACCTCATTTTAACTTGATTACCTCTGTAAAGACCCTGCTTCCAAATACAGGAGGTTAGGATTCAACATATGAATTTGAGGGCCCCAGAATTCACATGTTTTTGAATATATAAATTCAACCCGTAACATGAGTGAAGTTGAAAATCTTATAATATATTTTAAGGTTATTAGTATTTCCACTGTTTATTTGCCCATTTTTTCTAGAGGATTATTGCCTAACACTGGAAAAAAAATAATCTTTATTTCACAAATCTGTTGCCACCTTTATCATATACTAAATTCCAATATTATTTTATGTCTTGTTTGGCACTTTTTATTCTGTTCCATTGGTCTCTGTCAATACATATGTCAATTATATACTGCCTTAATTATCAAGACTTACATCAAGTAGGGCTAGCCTCCCCTAACTGCTCTACTTTGGTTTGTTTGTTTTTTCCTGTGTATTCTTATTTGCTTATTTTTCCATACAAACCTTAGAATCAGCTATCTAGTTTGAGAACATTTTCTGTGTTTTTTTTTTTTAGGGGGCAGTGGGCAGAAAGAGGATTACATTAATAGTTAACTTGGAAGAATTGAAATCTTCACAACTGTTCTTCCTTAGAATACATTTTCTTTCTATATGTTCAAGTCCAGTTTTATGTTTGTGAGAAATCATAACACTTTAATCATATGTTTATTGCAGCACTATTCACAATAGCAAAAATATTGAACCAACCATGCTGTCCATCAAAACTGAACTGGATAAAAAAATGTGGCACCTGTACACGGTGGAATATTACACAGCCATAAAGAAGGACAAAATTGTGGACTTCACAGCAACTTGGATGGATTTAAAGTCTATCATATATGAATATATTCTATATATTCTAAGAGATATGTGATCATATATCTCTTTTTAAGCTTATTTCTAGCTATTTTGTCATCTTGCCACTATTATAAATGAAATTTTTCTCTTCCAATATCTCTTCTTTACTGGTGGTTGCTTGTACATAAAAAGATTATTGTTTACATGGATTTTCATTTTCCATGATCATATAGAATTTTCATGCTGTTTATAGTAATGTCTCAGTTATTCTCTTTTTTAATTTTAATTTTAAATTTTATCTTTTTTTAATTTTTATTTTTTAAAGTTGTGGGGTACAAGGCAGGATTGGGTACGCAAGTGTTTTGCATCCAGGGGACATTTGGGGCTCTCATTGGACCTCACTTTGCCCGGACTGGTGTCAGGACCTCTTACTGATGCTATGTGCCCCCCGACCCCCCGGCAGTGTTCTGCTACTGCCGAGAACTTTTTTGTGATAACGTGTACTTCAGGGTCTACTTATGAGTGAGTACATGTGGTTCTTAGTTTTTCTTTCTGTGACAGAGTACTGCGTGTGATAGACTCTAAATCCAGCACTACAGTACTGAAGTTAAGAATGATTAAGATGTTGTGCTTTTGACCACAATAAAATGTGGAGAAAAGGAACACTTCTACCAAAAATAGAGAAGGGGGAGAAAAAGTGGACAAAACAATAAGCTTGCTTACTGCTTTATTTATAATAACTGGGAGTCAAATGATGTTGAAAGCAAACAAATCTAATAGAAGCTTAAACTATTTAAGACTATAGGAAAGAGAAACATCAAGAAAAGTAAAGTTATTTTTAATTTTTTAGCTTATTTTAGAATATTATAATTTTCATCTTATACAGTTGTTGTGCACATTTTATTGTGGTCAAAAGCACAACATTTACCATCTTAATCATTCTTTTTTTTTTTTTTCGAGTTGCAGTCTCACTCTGTTGCCCAGACTGGAGTGCAGTGGCCGCTTCCGGCCACTGCAGCCTTGACCTGCTGGGCTCTGGCGATCCTTCCACCTCAGCCTTCCAAGTACTTGGAACTACAGGCATGCGCTACCACACCCAGCTGATTTTTTGTTGTTGTTGATTTATTGTAGAGATGAGGTCTCACCAAGTTGCCCAAGCGGGTCTCGAACCCGCGAGCTCAGGCAATCCACTCACCTGAGCCTCCCAAAGCATGGGATTACAGCCTGAGCCACTGAGCCTGACTCTTAATCATTCTTAACTTCAGTACTGTAGTGTTGAATATATTCACATTGTTTTGAAACAGATCTCCAGAACATTTTCATTTGCAAATCTGTAACTCTATACTTATTAAATAGCACCTCTCTTTTAATCCCTGCCTCAGTCCCTGGGAACCACCATTTTTTGTGCCGTCTGAGTTTGACTACCATTGATACTTCATATAAGTGGAATCACACAGTATTTGTCTTTTTGTGACCGGCTTATTTCACACGGCATAATGTTCTCGAGGTTTATTCGTGTTGTAACATGTGACAGGATTTCCTTCCCTTTTAAGAGGCTGAATAATATTTCATTGTGTGTGTATCACATTTTGTATATTCGTTCATCCATCAGTGGACATTTAGGTTGCGTCCATCTCTTAGCTATTGTGAGTGTGCAGCTATGGATATATGAATATGCAAATATCTCTTCAAGAC